TGGACAACATGGCCCGTCTCACCAGGTCGGCGCGGCCTTGTCGATGGTCTACGTGACAGGCGGGCCAAGATGGATGCGTCAAGACTCGAAATGAAGCCGGCGGGCAGCTCACCAAGTCCAAGGATCTGGTCCTCTGTTTCTTTTTTGCCGTAGTGTTGTTAAACCCGGATTAACACCCTCCTGGTTGATGACTAGGGGGGTGTCACCTTTTAGTCGGGATTCAGGCCACTTTTGGAGGGGTTTTCACCCCCCTAATGTTATTCATCCTGGGTCAACATTACCTTATTGGATAAGGCAGTTGGGGCAGTTCCCAATGCCCGGCATCGGGAGCGTTTTGGGGTTTTGGACGCCATCGAAGGTCAGCCTGTCGTTTTCGTGGGCACCGGACAGAAGTGCTCCCGCTCGGCTCGATGTCTCGATTTTTTTTGTTTTTTGGTTCAGTCCCGGGGCCGGGAGAGCCATCTTTTGGCGGCAAGCCAGCCTCTTTCTGTGCCACGCCCCAGCAGACCCAAAGAAGCTTTTCGTCCAGCCAGAACCCCCGGATGAAGGGAGCCCACAAAAAAGGAGGACTCGGCTGACCCCACGATCTGCGGAGAACCCCCGGATTTCGCGATCCTCTTTTCCGCCGCTTCAGGAAATTTTTCGCTCGGACTCCTGACCTCCTGACTCCCAGTGGGAGAGATCCAGAGATCGAGCGGATCGGAGGTACACGCACTTGCGGAAGATGCAAGCAAAGGAGGTGGCGGGTGCCCCGGAGCCTCCGGAGATCCGATCGATCGACCAGATCGAAGCCATAAGCCATGGGCTCCGAAGACAAGGATCGAGACATTTTTTGCCCGCCCAGTTGAGACATGGCCGGCTTTTGCGGTTTGCCAAAATAAAGTTGGATACCAGCAATAAAACAAGTTGCAATGTTCAGGTGTATAATGCATCCGGATCCCTGATTCATGCATGCTGTTCCCTTTGAGCTTGAGATTCCTTTTTTTTCTTCTCCGTGGATGGCCCGAAATCCATTTCGCACCACTTTGAAGAACCGTGGGGTTTAAGCCATTGTTTGTTGGTATTTGCAGGGGAATCGAATCCTTCCGTGGTTTGTCAGGTGATGCGAAATGGAGTTCGTCCATCCACAGTAGTGTATATTCTTTCCTCTTTTCAGCACGGGGCATGCTTTGAAAGCTCGCCTTTGTGCAGGTCAAGACTCTGCTCGGTTGAGACTTTGCCCGAGAGCGACAGCACAGGTCAGCAAATATAAAGTGTTTTTTTTTTTTTTTTTTTTTTTTTTATATTTAATTTAATATTTACAAATCTATTATTTCGTTCACATTCAAGTTCTTCTAATAAAAGCAGTTTACAATAAAAAAATATGACACCAAACACAAGAAAGAGATAATTAATACAAAAACATATTATAATAAAGACATATTAACCTAAAATATTAAATGACCAGAAATTATTCTTTGCTTTTATCCCTTACCTTTCCTATTTTCAAGATTTCATGGATAGAACGGTTTAATTCCTGAGATTTTAAGATGTGACAAGGAAAGAACAAGAGATGAAAGCTGTTATCTTATTCCTCATGCCATCTCTTTCTTATTTGGTTTTTATTGCTTTCTTCATCCATTCTATTCTTATCATAACATCTTTACAATCAAACCAACATAAAAGAAAAAGACAAGGCATTCATATTTTATTAGTGATTACATGCTTACAAGGAATCAATAATATTTTATTATGGTCATACTTTTATATTTCGCCCGCCGACATTTACTCCCACGTTCAACTCTATCCTAGGAAGCAGCAGGGCGACAGCAATGCTTTTGACGACACTTGTTGACCCACCCAAGCAAGGACAGGGCTTGGCTTCCTCTATGGTTGCCCAGACATTGGCAAATCTGGCAGGCCGCCTTAAATGAAAGAGATGGTTTCGAGGGCCTTTGACCTAAAACGTCCAGATGGTTGAATCTCCCCATGTTGAAAAGCCGACGAATTCAGGGCTCTGCCCAGATCCAGAGAACCTCTGGGCCCGCCTGCCACAGAAAGGACAGAATGCCCTTTGAACGCGCGGGAAAAACGAAGAGACCAGTCGACCGTCGACCGCGGTGCGGGCGGGCAAGTGGCGCGAGCGAAGTTTGCTCGCTGTTACCTGAGCGTGCAAGCAAGGCGCGTTCTTTGTTCTTGTTGTCTTTTTTTGTAGGGGGGTATGGTTTGTCGAGACACGTGGAAGGATGGAACCAAGCAGCGGGGCTAAGAAGCTTGGCATGTATGCGGTATGCGCTTTTTTGGCCTGCTTTGAAAAGGAGTCCCCGGGCGAAGCCATGGGTGACATGCTTTAGGACCTTCAAGGGTTCAGGGCTGGAAAAAGCTGTGGCTAGGCCCCTCACTATGGCCTAAGATATGAGTTTCATGCAGTCGTATGCGCACATTTTTGCTGCTCTGTCGTTCTGGTGGCTCGAGCTTATGTTTCACATCTCCCTCATGACATGACAGACGCGGAGCCCGACCCCAAGCGCGTCAGCTCGAGGTTTTTCAAGAGGTTCTGGACATGGGTCATAACCTATGCCTCCATTTTGGGGCGGATGAACACCCATGTACCACCTATTTTGATGTTCACCAGGGGTACAGGGTTTTGACCCACAGCCACATGAGACTCCAAAGTTGCATAGCGAGTGAATTCAGCACTTGTTGGTGGGCCTCCTTTCAGAAATGCTTCTTTGACACTGCGCGAGTGAAGAATGCCGGCTCGTTTCACAATTGTAAAACCCATGTGAAGAGCGGTCCCCCAAATTTCAGAAAGGGAGGTTGATGGCAGTGAGAAAAACCGTCAACCAACGTGTAAAAGGGCCAACTTGAGTCTGAGGGGAGGGTTCCCGCATTAATAGATAGTCACTGCACTAAAAAGGATGTTTGAAGTTGGTTCAAAAAGGTGGGACTTTGAATTCCCGGAAATACCAGAAGGCCTTTCTGCCCAAGTTTACCAGGCCGAGTTTACCTAAAAGGGACTTCCTAGACGGTCCGGGCACGAACAGCCGGTGCTTTGGCTAGTCGAAGGCGATGCTGGCGATGCAGCTAACGCAACAATTGAACCCGGGATTAATACACCCCTTGCTTGCTGAATCTGTTTTTCAGAGGGGGATGGGTTAATCCCTTCGTCGTGCTACTCTGGGGTTAGTATTTCAGGGGAACCACATGGGTCCACCCCAGACGCTCCACAAGGACGGCAGATTTTCGGCCTGACAGCGCCACTTGCTTTGCTTGCTTGTAAGGGACCCATGGCGCAAGGAGTACAACCCGAGCATCCAACTCCCCCAAGGTGGCCGGAGAAGGCGGAGCTGGAGCGATGGCTGATGAACACCGTGAAGGCAATCGGGGCGTTTTTTCTTCGGTTCGGAGCGCTCAGAACCGCTGACCAAAAAGGAGCGGCGGACATTGACATGGGTATGGGTCAAATCTAAACCAACAGGGGACCGCAGGTTTTTGTGCCAGGGATCCATTTTGGGTACCTACTTTTGACCCACAGCCACATGTCAACAGGGTTTGACCGCCAGCCTCACTTTTCCATGGCTGGTTGCTGAACAAAAAACAAAACGAGCCGGTGAGCCGAGCCGAGTGACACGGCCTTGTGCCGACAGATGAAACCCTTCTGGCCAGGGCTGTGGGAAATGACCACTTCTGTGCTAAGACTAACGCCCCAAATAGGGGGGAGATTCCGTTGTATCACAGAAGTGGGGATAAACCCCTTGATCCCACAACCCTGCAATTTAAGCATCTCAACATGTCACTGATGCCTTCCAATGTCTCATGTGGACCCTGAACCAGGGCCCCGTTTGCGTGAAGAAGGCGTAGCCATCTTCTCCCTCGTTGCTGTCGCCTCGTTCAGGGTTCCGTTTTGTTGACTCCCCCAAGGTCGACTTAGACCCAGGGGTTTCCCTTTTGGGGAGATCAACCAGCCCTGGGTTTCAGGGGACTCTCTTCGAGCCGGCCAGGACCCGGACCCTGGAGCGGTGTTCCTCCGGCAGGTGCTTCAGCCAGAGCCTCGTGGGGCGGTGGGTGGGAGCCCTGGTTTCTCCCGCGATCCGCGGGACCATGGCCGCTGTGGCAAAGACTTGGGCGGCCCGGCGAGTTCCAGAAAGCTCTCTGGCAAAGATCCCACGCAGTTTCATGCCGTTCGGGTTTCGGGACAGACTCGGAGGCCGGGCATTTGCACCTGAGGTGCTTGGGTTTCTCGTTCAACGGCCACAAGTGGAGTCCTTTTCCCAACATGCCCCAGGTGCTTGGCAGCGGTGTGGTTGTACATAACAACAATGTGACAAAACATTCATTGGATGTGAACGGGGCCAGTAGAGGTTGCATATGCAATAATTAGATGTGCAAGGAGTGTTGAGCGAGACTCATGTGGACGGATGGGGGTTGAGGGAAGCAATTTCATTTCCCCGTCTCAGGCGGAGTGGAGCAGTTTCCAGACAGTTTCAACCACGCGCGTCAGGATGAATCCCGCCTACGGCTCCTACCTGCAGACGGACAAGGATGTGAGGGATGTGATGCGATGCCATGCGATGCGACTAGATCTGGGAGCAGGCACTCAACGCATTTGGCCATGGGTCCAAATCCAAATCGTACCCCCAGTGAACATCCCAATTCCCACAAGAATAGGTTCTAAAATAGATGGTGCACCCCAAAATGGGATCCCATTGGTTTTGACAACCACAGCCATTTGTAGGCTCTAAGGGTTGAAGAGACATCCTCCAGATGGTCAGCTTGTTGGCATCTCTTGCTTCTCTTCCTCCCGCCGGGGAGGCGGAACCGATTGAGGTGCTGAGGAGGGAAGAGCTGACATGGAGTTACCGACAGTACATCTATGGTGCTGCTGGTTCTATGAGCGCTTTCCCTGACTTTTGAAGTTCTTGTAATGCGCTATGTACAAGTCACTTGCTTTGACTCCAAACGCCTCCTTTTAAGCTGTTGTGCGGGGGTCATTTTGACTCTGCCTCGTTTCGGCTGAAAGCCTTCCTTCCACGAAGGGGTATGGTGCTGTGACAGACACAGCCAAGGATTTAACCCAGGCAGTTTGTCTTGGCATCTCTCTAAAACCCCCCATTCAAACTCCATGAATCCCTCAGTAAAACCTCGTCAGCAAACATTTTCCCTCCCACCAATTCACACATGGACCCGTTCGACGTTTTGGGGGAACCAGTCCCTTTTGCACTAATTTCCTTTCAAAGGACCGTCGAAGGGGTGGGAGGGTAAAGAACTCCGCCACGCCCATCCCATCCCATCCCATCCCATCCCATCCCATCCCATCCCACCCCCCCCCACCCCACCCCACCCCACCCCACCCTACCCCACCCCACCCGACCCCACCCCACCCCACCCCACCCCACCCCACTCCACCCCGCCCCGCCCCGCCCCACCCCACCCCACCCCACCCCCACCCCACCCCACCCCACCCCACCCCACCCCACCCCACCCCACCCCACCCCACCCCCCCACCCCCCCACCCCACCCGGCCAAAGAAAGTCTGAACTTGTTATTTGCCACTACAACTGTCCAAATCCGCAAGGTTTACCCTCATAACATGGAAGTGCAAAACACATTCCCAAAAGGAAAGTAGTCTTTCTACAGGGGTCTGTGATAAACCTGTGTTCGTCGGGAGGGTAACGTCCATGAAGTCGAGTGAACCGAAGTGAGGCTGGGCTCTGTCTCAATGCAAGCGCCTGGCCACCGCAGCCAAGAGCTCCAAGCTGTTGCGGGCCTCCAAACGGGGCGATGCCCAAAATAGCAATCATGTTAGCCACCCCACCCCACCCCGCCCCACCCACCCACCCACCCCTCCGTGGCCATGAGCTTCGGGGGCTGGCACGAGGTGAACACCCCGCAAGACCTCACCAGGCACCCGCGGAGATGGCGGGATTGGTCGCCTTTTGCTTCTTGGGGCCCCCTTGAAACGGGGGGAGCGAGGATGTCAACAACCTTCAGGACCTTCACAGATGCAGAACCAAGGGGGCACCCATCACCAGCCGCTTTCAAGAGTTGCGCGTTGTGCCAAGGGCTTGGTGCAGCGAATGGGTTCCTCATGGGATGCTCTTTGTTTCGCCCCGTGTGCTGGGCGGCGCCGCGGGGCTGGAACTTCTCTTCTCGCGCTGGTCGAAGATCAGTCTTTGCAGTCTGCAGTGCTGTAGATGGACGAAATACTCAAAGCCTCGAACAATTTGCAATCCCTGCGACCCCAAATCTCAATGTGTTTGGCGTTTAGGAAGGACCCGGGCGAGTGGACGAACGAAATCAATCCCGGTTGGGCTGACTATTGGAACCCCTTGCGCAACGTTGAACTTTGGGTGGGCGCAGCGGGTTGAATTGTGAGTTGGTGGAAGGCATTGAATAGTTTATCCATCTGTTGTTGGTTGGGGGCTTTGGGACGCGGAGGGGTAGATCAGGGAATGGCTCACTGGGCCCAAATCCTGTGGGGAGAGCTTGAAGGTAGCAGAGATTCCCGGCCTCCACTGCTGGCAGTTTTCCTCCGTTCAAGCAAGGGGGCCAGAGCTGATTGCTGACAAATCAAACCAGCCGCAGAAACATGTGGGTGTGTATCTTTTGGGGGGTACCTGTTTTTCATTGGAAACCAAAAGGACACCCTCCATTTTCCGGAGTTTTCTAAAAAAATGACACCCCCATGTTGGAGGGTTCAGGCCGAGCACCAGAGACATGCAACCCAGAGCCAGGGTCCGGGCCTAAGGCCGACCCTTGGGCAGCCCACGTGTGGCTTGATCTCCAGGGCGCTTCTGGCGGTTTTTCTTTTTCGCCAGGGCCTGGAACGACACCGCGCTGCTTTTGTCCGAGGAGGACACCAGAGAGCAGGTGAAGGCGGGAGGGGCTGTCTTGGAAGCCGCTTTGAAGCGGCGCAAGGAGGGAACTCCAAGTTGAACAGGCTCAAAAGCACTGGTACAACCTTGGGTTCTTCCAAGCACATGGTTTAGGCCACTTGTACAGCTGCTAAGAGTCGCACATTTTTCCACCTTCCACCTTACGGCTGACTGTGCCACGAGGGTAATCTGGTTACCTGCACTGAGAACTCCGGATTGCAAAGCTGGCTGATTTTGATGGGGCGCCCTAAAGGTGGGGATTCACCTTAGGGGCCCCGAGCTTTGCCGGCGAAAAAAACCATTGGGTTGAGAGAAGAGGAGAGAAAACTTGGACCGTCAGACACCGACCCAGCCACCGAGCCTTCGAGCTTCGAGGCCATGGGCGCCTGCCTACTGAGCGAGGCCAACGACCTCAAGCGGCCCTTGCCCATCGTGGCCAAGGACTCGCGAGCGGCGTGGCGTGTCGCGCCGGGCGTTCCGCGTTCTGCAGGGGGGACACCGCAACAAGGCAGGCCGAGAACCGGTGCATGGGTTTTGCGGACAAAATCGAGGGAGTCCACCAAGCGCGATTTCTTTGCAAACCCTGTGGTTTGCTTGAAGCCAGAATGGAAAAGGCTACGCGCAACAACAGCCAAGCACCCAGATTCCCTTGGTTTAAGTTTGGTTCTCGGTTTTTACCAGCGAAACCCATCAAATTTGCCAAGAGGACTAGTGACTAGGGTTGTCGTGTCTCTCAGAACTTGGGGAAGAAGCAAGTTTTGAAGGGCTGTTTGTGGGTCTTTCAATTCGGCGTGCTTGCGGAGGTCTGGTTTCGATTTTGGGATGCATCCACTCGGAGCATAGCCTAACTTGGAGAGGCCCGGTGGAAATGGCAAGTGCGAGACCGTGTCCAACAAATGGAACCATGGAATGGGTTGGCTCACGTAATCCAAATTCCGGGAGGGTTGGCTCACAAGCTCCATAGCTCCAATCGGTTGGCGCACAAGATCCACCGGACATCTTGGGCTCCAACGGGGAACATCATCCATCCACGGCGCGACACAGGCAAGTTTGCTCCCGGGGCACGCGATACATCATTGTGAAAGCCAGGGGGTGCCGCCTAGGTTGCCTCAACTCGGACCCTTCGCTTGCGCCTTTTAAGCATTGGTTCTCCCGCTACACCAACCGGGGAGGGGGCATCTTGAAAACACCTCCCCCTTCCCAAACCTCACCTGCCAGGAGTTGAACGTCAGCCTCGATCTGCTGGAATGTCCCTCCGCTTAAAGGGGGGCAGCGGCAGTGCGTTTGATGCCGCGTGGGCATACGTGGTCCGGCCCTTCCGTTGCAAGCCCAAACAGGGGTTGGTGAACAAATCGTTTGTTGTGTTCTGTCTCAGATATGACTGAGGTCATTGAATTCAGCTGAAATTTCCTTTCAATCCCATCCTATTGCTCAAAAAATGACCTTGACCATGGTAAAGTCATGCCGTGCTAGCCTTCAAGATCTTGAAAGAAGTCAGAGCTCTGCCTGCAAACACCCAGAAGGGTCCCGGAGTGGAGTTCCGGAAGGCTTCCTGACGGGCAACCTGGAGGTCAGCGATGCCCTGGACATCATGCGGAAGATGAGCGAGGCGGGTTTTTGTTTGCGTGAGTCTGTGTGTCTGTGTGTTGGTGCTGTTTGTCTTGGTGTGCTTGTTTGTTTGTTTGTTTGTGTCTGTCTGTCTGTCTGTTTCTGTTTGCCTGTTTGCTGTTTGTCTGTTTGTCTGTCTGTCTGTCTGTCTGTCTGTCTGTCTGTCTGTCTGTCTGTCTGTCTGTCTGTCTGTCTGTCTGTCTGTCTGTCTGTCTGTCTGTCTGTCTGTCTGTCTGTCTGTCTGTCTGTCTGTCTGTCTGTCTGTCTGTCTGTCTGTCTGTCTGTCTGTCTGTCTGTCTGTCTGTCTGTCTGTCTGTCTGTCTGTTCGTTTTGGTGGTCAAAGTCAAACTTGTTTCACTCGGAGGCGATAAAGTGAGACTTGCAATCTTCACGTCCTTTGGAGGATTCCCCTTGCATCCTGTTGCTTTTGGATCTTCACGCCCTTGTTTGTGCCCGGAAGGATTAGGGCGTCATTTCCTTTGGGCCCAGTGCACCGCTCACCGCTGAAAGCGCCGCTGGGCGGCGGCTGAGGTCTACGCTGTGCCTCTGAACGACCTCTGGCTGGACGCCGATGTGCCCGGGCATCAACCGGCCGAAGGTGGGTGGAATACAGAACAGACGTCGAATTTTTCCTCAGGGCTCCGGGACAAACACGTTCCAGGTAATTAAATAATTGCAAAATCCGGGACCCCCGAATATTGCAATTATTGCAATTATTGCAATTATTGGAATTGATTCCAATAATTGCAAAATCCGGGACCTCCAAATATTGCAATTATTGCGACCTTTGGGCCGGACGGTTTTGCCGTGTAAAGTTACTGCCTGGTTGATGGAATTTTCTGGAATTGCCGCTGCTTGGCTGCAACGGGATGCATGCGTTGTTCAGGAAGGCACCCAGATATTGTTGCAATGTACAGGCGCCTATGGTGTGCACCGTTAACCATCTGTATAAAGCAGTCTTGGGGTGTCCCGCTTTGGTATCACCGTTTTTTTTTTTTTTTTTTTTTTACAACAAGACTGTGTTGGTGCCTTGTGTCTGGTCCGCGCTGTTCTGAGATCTAGACCAAACATCAAGGGCAAAGAAGCCTGGGCCCTGAGAGTCCTCGAATTGGCTCATCTGCCGTGTGGTTTGGGGCGATGCCTTTGGTGTCCTTTTTGGTTGGTTTGCTCAAAGCCATAGAGGGCGATTCCTGGCTTGGATGGGGTTGATTCCATATACCAGGGAAACCCATCTATTTTTCCTGTATGGTGGAGAAAGGCCGTCCGGGCCCCTTTTTTCCGTCCTGGGGCAAGCCTGGATAGCAAATGGGAAATGCATGAGGGCGGCTCCAAAAAAAACTACCTTACGGCGAGGATGGCTGTTGCCTTCCGATTTCGGGGGCCTAGTAAGCAGCTTGCGCGCTTGGTTCGCTTGGAGCCACCCGGGGACTTGTCGAGTAGCCTGCGAGCGATGCGGCCGGGTTTCCCGCATGAAACGCCTGATTCAAGGTTTGGCAGAACAAGATGCTTAAAAGGGAATCCCAAGGGATGTTTTTGCAGTGAAGTGTTGTTCCACCAGGTTTTATTGTCCTTTGAGGAAGACCCTTTCCGCATGACTTCGGTTTTTGCTGCCCACGACAATGAGTTTTCAAGCGACTTGTTCTTCCACCGGTCTTTTTTCTTTTTTTCCTTCAGGGAACGTTTTCCGAGCCCCCCTTTAAGGAAGACCCCCCCCGTCTGTGGCTACCACGGCCGTTGGCCCCGAACCCCCGCGCGCCGCCCGAGGACACCACCTCGGGGCTGCGGCTCTTCACCACGGAGGCCGCGGAGTCCTCTAGCCGCATCCTGGACCGCAAGGACCAAAAGACGACCAGAGAGGGAGGTGGGCGCGGTGCTGAAAATGAAGCGATCGGGGCGAAAATTCCGCAGGTTTTGGTACCCATGTTTCCACTTGCCAGGGTTACATTTTGGAATTCCGGTTTTTGAACCACAGCCAGGTGGCACTTTGGCCTGGTACTGTATGCGTATGCGTGTGCGAGGCGGCATTTCATTCTCTCGTCGGCTTCTTTTTTGTTCCCCTTCTGGTTCTTTTTTGTTTTTGGTTGCGCTTTCTCGTCTTTCTTTTTTTCTCCCCCCCCTCTCCTTTTTTTTTTTGGGGGGGGGAGGTTTGGGGGGGGGAGGGGCCTGTTGTTTCTTTTCCTTTCTTGTTTTTAGTTTTGGGGGGAAGGGATTGTTGCTTTTGGGCAGCGGTGGTTGCCCCTCTCTTTTGTGCGTAAAATCGGCGACATGTTTGAGATGCTAAGAATAAGGTGAGGCACTGTATGCTGAAGTGATGGTGAGTCTATGATCTTGCATTTTGCATGCCCCTTGATGTGGAAAGGTTCGGGCGCCCTTGTTTTGGGGTGTTGCTTGAACCGGAGTGTGACTTTCCCTTTCCACAAAAAGCAGCACCAACTTTCCACCCCTGTGACGATAGATATGGCTGTCAAAACCAATGGTATCCCATTTTGCTTGGTAGGGTGAACTCACCACCCATTTTTAGGCTTCCTATTTTAGTGGTTGGATTGGGATGTTTGGATTCTGAGCCATGGCCAAATCTGCCAGTCTTTCAGGAAGCAAACGAAATGGGGCTACGGGCTTTGGCTTTTGAAAAGCCCACGGCCATATGTTTGCCGCTGCCAAGCAGCCGCCCGTTGCTCGCGCAGGACCGCACTGGGCAGCGAACTCCGTACTACGAGGCGCGGGGCTTGGGAGGTGCTGGGGAGGTCTCTTGAGGCATGCGGGCACATGGGTACGGCCAGCAGCCTAGCGGCCTAGGTGAAGGTTACTAAAATCTTAAGATCACACGAACTGGTCCCAAGAAGAGGCAAATGGCCAGGAGTTGGCCACTCGCACCTGTGACGAGAGATTTCGTGGGCTCGGCCAGTACCGGGACGCCGCGATGAGCCGCTGCAGCCAGTTCCGGCCGGAGTGGATCAAGGCGCGGTTCGTCTTTCAGCGCGCCGTTTTCAGCCGGGGAAGGCCTTTGAAGGGGGTTGTGGTATTACCCGGGAAGGAAGCTGGCCAAATTTTGGTGGTATTTGTAGAACAACAGCCTTGTTGCTCTGTATTGTTCTGTTTTGCGCGGCCATTTCCCAAGTAGTCCCAGCGTGCGTGCCAAACGCACAGGGTGTGTGCTAGGATTGCGTCAGGGGAAGAAGGGTCAGCGGCCAGAGGCCTGCATGTTGCTCCTTTGGTTGAAGGAGGCCAATTGTGGTTGCACCTTTGGTTCAGGGTTCAGACATGGAGCGTCGCAGCACAGATGTTACCTTGGAGTCAGAGAAGATGGTTGTCAAATTGAACCATTGCCTTTCAGGTTACCGCAAATTGGTGGCTTGGATTGGTGGTTTGGTATTTGAACCCTGGTTCTTGTAGACAGTAGATGGGAAACACCACCAATTAGAGGGAACAGCAGAGCACGCAGGCCCACGTTCCTTTGGCTTGGCCAGAAGCCATGCGGGACTGTTCTTGTGTGCGCACATGCGCATGTAGGCATCGGTGCAGGAGTTGCCTCTTGAGACTTGGGAGGAATCGCCAAAAAAAAAAAATCTGAGAAGAGCAGGGTTCCCCCTTCCGCGTGGCGCCCCTTTTTGAGCGAAGTTCCTTAAACGTCGGGGCGACGTTTGAAGGGGATCCGGCCCGCGCAGGTCCTTCGCCTGGCGGCTTTGGCAGCAGTTTGGGTTTTCTTGCCGAAGATGCGGCGAAATGGTCCCAGGTGTGTGTCGCCCCCGAAATGGGACTGGTGATTGAAGTCCGTCTGAATGTGTTCTGTTTTTCTTCATGTTTTTTTGAGAGGGGGTGACGAAAATTGGGTTCCTTTTCGGACATCATGTTGTTGTTCATGGATCAATGATCAAGGGCTGTTTCCAATCCCTTGAAAGGCCCAGGAATCCTTTTGTGCCGCCCTTGCATGCTGGCCCAAGAGCCATTGTGCACAATCAAATTGCCCTGGGTAGAAGCACATTGCTGCAAAGCTTGGGGCGTTTCAATCAGTCCATGAGAGCGCTGGTTTGTGTACCAAGGCCAGAACAGTTATCCAAGGAGAAAAAACAAGAGACCATCAGCGCCCCTGCCAAGCAGCCCGCCTGAGGTCAATTCAGGGGACCCCTGCGACCCGGATGTGCAGATGAACAACGGGCGGCTCGACATTGGGGCTCTGCATTTGGCGAGGTGATTCGCGGACATGGCACGTGCCTGGTGGGCACAACCTGCCGGACGTTGAAAGAAAGGAATCGGAATTCGTATTTCACGGGTTCCAAATTCAGCATTGTGGGATCAAGGGGTCTTTCCCCACTTCTGTGATATCTTCGGAAATCTCCCCCTTTACATGGGGGGGGAATGTCTTTCATTGTTTGGAAGCCCTTTTGTTGTATCACAGAAGTGGATTCCGTTTCAACCACAGCCCTGGAGTTCAGGCATTTGATGATGCAGACCACGTTGTTCATCGGCCCTGTGGACTTTTACTACACCGACCGCGCCTAGGGTGCAGAGACCTGCCCGGTGTTTGCTTCCGGCATGTGGCAGGAGGTCTTTGTGCTCTCAATTGATAAGAGAAATGGGGATTTGCAAACCTGCTTTTGCAGTTTGTTGGAAATGGTACCATTAAATGCTACCATTGAGATTTTGCAGTTTGTTGGAAATGCTACCATTGATATTTTTTGCAATTCTCGTCCCATGCCAGTCTAGCGCAGAACTTTTGGCGCTCACACATCGCAAGCGTAAATGATGGTGAGTGCGGGATGTTTAGTGCTCGGGTTCCGGCTTGACATTTCGCATTTGCTGACATGATGAAATCCACCACGAACCTAAGTAAGCCTTCGTAGCCTTGCAAGCACCTTGCTAAAACCAAGCGCGAAAAAGCCTTGAACGTGCTTTGCGGACGTGCAACTTGAAATTCATTCACCTTCTTCCTTCGATGGACAGTGCTGGTTGGAGATGCCGAGCACAAGGGGTGCGCGTTTTGTTCCCGAGTTCTTAGGTTAAAGCGCTTGAATCGGGATGTTGTAACCCTGACCGGGGCATCAAGCTGGCCCTCCGCAGTGTTACTCATGTGCCCCGGATGCGGTAAAGGGCAATATGGCAGATTGAGATGTCGCTAGGAGAAACAACTGAACTCCTACCATCCAGTCCAAAGTGATATCCATGTTCCAATTTTCAGGTCAAGCAAACTGAGCTCCTCCCCCCCACCATTTTTTCTTGGAGACACCCGCGTGGAATCTTAGCTTCGCGCAGCAAGCGAAGCTCAACGCGCGATTCGAGGGCATGGCAAAGTCCATCGCCGGGAGATGAACACGGGGGACAGCGGCCTGGCGATTCGTCGATTCGTGGGTGGGGAGGGGGGCTTATGGCTCTCATGGCCTACTCAACCCGGGCCTCGTCAAAGGCTCGTCCTTGGCTTATCCTGGGATCTCAGTTGTATAGCCCCCCTCCCTTGGAGGTCCATGACGGGGAAAACGAATTCGCGTTGGGGGGAGACTTGTGATACATTGATACGTATCAGGTGTTCTGCATGAAGATGTGATTGGTGGGGCGTGACTTGTACCATCCTTGAGTGATACTTATTGTGCAACTCCGCACAGCGCGGCTGAATGGGCATCACTGGACAGGAGGATGCGTCTGCGATGACTGTATGTCTTCGAAATAGGCGGACCCGCTTGATTTCCCTGTGCTCTCCTTTGAAACCTGTGCTTGTCGCCTGAGTCACTTGGCCTTCACACTGGACTTTTTGCGGTTCAAAGTTTGGTCAACATGCCCCACTTTCGGGAGCACAGCGGAACAGGCGCCCGCGCCTATTTGTGGCAACCCCATCCCATCCCATCGTCCGAGCAATCCCGGGCACTTCCAGTTTTGGGCCGGTGCCAGAATTGGACCCCCCTCCAGAAATGGTGGTTTCCCTTCTCGGTTCCGTTTTTAGACCATCCCCCGGAAAGGGAGTCTTCGAGGCAACTACATCTCGCCCTTTGTGCCGCACTCCTTCACCGCCCGCGCGGATGCGCCCGAGGCGATCATCATCGCGGCCGCTTTGTTCGCAAGAGTTCGATGCTTTGCAGGGGGTATGTCACAGTGTGCAATCTGGGCTTTCCGTATTTAGTTAAGGTTGCAACAGCATTCTGCCGTTGGTTTCGAGCGCTGGTCTTGGGCTTAAATGCGCAAAGCGCGTGGCAAGGCGACTTGCAGCCTCGCAAAGTGGTGACTTAATGCGAGGCGCATAGTTCACGAGGAGCGCAAAGCGTTAGCTCTTCGTAGGATTGGGTTGGTTGGGCTATACAGTTTTTCTGCTGGGCTAAGTCACTATGCTGCACCCGACAACGCGACGGGAGCGACTTCCCAGGCTGACAAAGTAAGATATCTTTGAGCCAATGGATCCCAAATGTCCCCGTGCTCAGACTTAAATCAGGGTTGAGGCCAGATGGAGCACAACAAGTGTAGACATGGGGGGGGAGGGGTTCATGCTCTGAGGTAGACTTGAGGGGTGTGCATGTCCATACTGTGCATTCATGCCGCAGCTTTTAGGCCAGTTTTGACTCCTTTGTGCCTTTTATCTTGGCAGCCATGTCCCGCCGCTCAGGCAGGGTTTAGGGCACTGGCTTAGGGGAGGTTGCGGATGCATGGCCCTTCCACACGCCGATGCAATTGAGGGCCTGGAATCTGAGCTAGTCCACTAGGTGTCCTTTGGGTCGGTTCGTTTGAACATATTCCAATCATGTCTATCGGTGCTTTCTCCTTTTTGTCTGAAAGGAGACCAAAAGGAGCTCCACCCACTTTTTTTCTTTCTTTTTTCCGGATCCTTTCGGTGGCGGCTCCCATTCCACCTGGTTTGGTTTTTGGTCGGGATCTTTGGGTTGGGCCCGGCAGGCCACTCCCTGCTCGCCCTGGCGCTGGCCGCTGTAGGCCTGCGCCTCTGCTTCGTGGGCGGAGGCTCCGCCGGCTCCGCCCGGGGCCCCGCGGTGGCCATGGAGGCCCGGAAGTTCATCGTGGGCCCGGGGCCCCGGCGACGCTTTGGGCCGATCGGAGCTCGAAGCGCGGGTCGGGTCCGGTCCGTCGGATCCAACGGGGCGGCGGGCGCTTTGGTTTTGTTGCTTCGCGGCGGTTTTTCGAAGCGCGGGTCCGGTCGGATCCAACAGAAGGGTGGGAGATGGTTCGCTTCTTCGCGGCGGCGAAAGCGCTTCGGCGCTTTGGCACCTTTTTGCGTGTTTCCTTCTTTTGTTTTGGGGGGGGGGTGTTCGGCGCAGGGTTTCGTCTAGCGTCGAAGCCTGGAGTCCTGCTGTCTCTGGGTGGGTTTCGGCTCTAAGCTTTGGCTCCTGTGACATTTCTTTTTGCCCATCTGCCCGCCCGAGGTGGCAACTGGAAGGCCAACGGCAGCCCCGAGAGCGTGAAGACTCTGGTCAAGGACACGGGAGAGCGGCGCGCGAAGTTGCCCTTCGCTGGTTGTGGCGCGGCCTAGTTTCGGAAGGTGGTCGTGTCGGCATGTGGCGTTTGCTTTTAGTTGTTTCCGATTGCGGCCGTGACCCGCCCCAGGGTTCCTTGCGATCCTCTGAGGATAGGGTGCACAAACCACACCTTCTTTTTGAGATGGTTTTGAAGGGAAACAAGGAACACCCACCATCTTGGGGGGGGGAGCCCCAAGAATGACACTTCCACAATCGTCGGCTTGTGTTCTCGTCTCGTGACCTCGCCGTTCAGGAGCTGAATGACGGAGAGCTGACCACCAAGGACGCGGACGGCGTTCGGTTGGCTTGTTTGGGATGGTGGGGTGTGGCCTAGATGCACCCCACCAACACCACCCCCTCCAAAGAAACAAAGAAGACAACCACAAGCATGATGGCCCAGCGAAGAGTTGGGTGCCGTCCAACAGTTTGTCCTCAACTCCCAAGAAGAAAAGACAGCTTTCCTTTTGGTTTCCCTTTTCATGCGAAAGGTCCAAGGAAGAGCCGCAGCTGGCCCAGCTGCGTCGGATTGGCTTGGCGATGCTCCCGACAGGCCGAGCAAGTCGCGATCCCAGGGGTAGTTCCATAGGTCTCCCCCCGGTGCCAACTTTTACCAACTTTTTGGGGGAGGAGTCCCCTACTAAAATAGACTACAGACAAAAGGGTACCCTTATTTCTAACCTCTCTACTGGAGGACCTAGTGATTCCATGCTGGGAAAAAAGTAACACCCACCAACCCCACAAGTGGGAGTTCGCCCCGAAACCTTCGGACTCCTGGAGCCAGGGTTTCACCCCGTAGAAATCTCCGACCATCCTCCGACCACCCGGGCTCCGGGCTCCGGGCTGCGGAGCTTTGTGGCGAGGATGTGGAGGTGGTGTGCGCCCCGCCCTTCCTGTACCTCGCCGAGGCGCCGTGTGGTGCGCCGGTTTCGTGGGAGGTGTGTCTCCTTTGGCGGAAAAAAGGAAAGCCCGCGGCGGCCTTGCCAAAAGCAAAAAGACTAAAGCAAGAAGGGCATTTCGCAGGTTTCCTTGCTTCGCCTCGCAAATGAAGATGTGTTGCTTGAACCTGCCAGGATCCTTCCTGAAACACCACATCAAAGCAGCGACTTGCGCAGTAAAGGTTCGGCAGAGAACTCGACGTTTCGTTTGTGTGAAGAGAAGAGATAGGGTAGAGAGAGAGAGAGAGCTGGGAAACGGCAAGCTTTTGCAATGACACACACACACACACACATCGCCATGTACAGGAGGTTCCCAAGCACAGTGCTTGTCATCCAACCTTCTCGCAGGCTCTTGTTGCCCTTGGTCGGGACTTGGAGCCATGCATCAAAGCCCGTTGGGTGGTTGGATTGCCCCCGCGCCCCTCACACCTCTTTTGGAAGAAAACACGAACCCGCCCTTTGCCCCGTGTGCCTCAAAGGCCCTTTGCTCCTTTGTGAAACCCAGTGGACACTGGTATGGCTCCGCAACTTATGTAACATAGATTCCGACAGGAGTCCCTTCCCCAGCCAAGCAAATCCCTCTAAAACATGGAAGGCTCATGATCACTTGGTAGGTGTTTGTCTTCCTGCCGACGGTTCCCCTACTAAAATAGACTATAGAAAAAAGGGCACCCTTATTTCTAACCTCTCTACTGGAGGACCTAGTGATTCCATGCTGGGGAAAAAAAGCAAAAAAACACAAGTGGAGAGTCGGCCGAATCCCAGCCGAATCGTGGCAGGTGAAGGACTCCCTGCGCAAGGAGTACAAGGTCGCGGCGCAGAACCTCTGGGACAAGGACCCCGGTGCCTGGACAGGCGCCGCTCCCAAAACGGAAGGACAGACCGAGAGACCGGGCAATGCGGCAAGGGCGTGGGAGGCCAGAAACCGGATGGCGAGGTGAGGTGTCGAAAAAGAGAAGAAAGGAAGAGAATGACACCTGAGAATGAGAATGTGAATGTCAAAAGAGGAGACACGTTGTTTTTTCTTCTTCCTTCCCCCCCCCAAAAAATGGAGAAAGTAGGGGGCCTGGGGGGAAGCCTGTTGATGGTTGCCTGTTCTGGTTTTTATGTTCATCTCAAATCTATGTTCCCCCTTATTCGTTTTGAAAAGAGGGTTTTTAGGGAGCTTATTTATCGTTTTCGTTAAGGTAATCATTTTGGTAATTGCCCCCCTTGTTCATTGTTGGGCTGGGGGCAAACATTTTTTTCATTTGAAAGAGTTGACCCTTTTAGTAGTTATCAAGTTCTGGGGTGTTGGCGGTGCATTTGTTTTGTTAGTATGTTTCTCATTAATTTTCATTTATAGGTTAAACGTTCAGTATAATTATAACATATAAGATTTTACATGTTATTATTATAGTATGATTATAATCCCAATACAGGATAATAATTTAATTGATTTGTCTTACTTCTTTCATACACCATTTTAAAAATAATATTAATATCTCTCACTGTATTTTGAACATTAAACTTTTTACTTTCAATAAATAATTTGATATTTTCTTTAACATCTTCTCCTTTCTCTTGACTATAACCCAACATCCATAATATATCATCAATCATGTCATATTTTCTTACTGATTTTGAGAAATGCTCTAACATAACTATGAGGTGGTATTTCATACACAGTTAAAAATATCAAAATGTCATCTTCAACATTTCTTTCATCTATTTTTTTAATCTCCAAAAATTTTCTATCATATTTTGATATCGTCTCCATCTTCTACAAGTTCTACATACATCTTCTTCACTCAGAGCATAATCAGTAATATTATTTACTATTCCATTAGGTAAATTCAATTTGTATAATTCCATATTTTCTTTTTTGAAGTGGCAACAATCATAGCATTTCTTATTAATATAACTGTTGATTTCATCATAGTTCATTTTTCTCTTAATATGTTATGCTATTTTTTCTTTAAGTAGTTTTGACTAGGGGGTTGCTGGTCAGCTGGTCTGGGTTTCAGGTTTAATTTAAATGTCTGTGTGAGCCAGACCTTGCTGTGCGAGCCAGACCTTACTGTGTGAGCCAAACCTTGCTGTGTGAGCCTGACTGTGTTGTGTGAGCCTGACTGTGTTGTGTGAGCCAGACCTTGTTACTTGAGCCATTCTCCCCTTAATTGGGGAGTTCGCCCCCCCTTAATTGGGGAGTTCGCCCCCCTTAATTGGGGAGTTCGCCCCCCTTAATTGGGGAGTTCGCCCCCCTTAATTGGGGAGTTCGCCCCCCTTAATTGGGGAGTTCGCCCCCTTAATTGGGGAGTTCGCCCCCCTTAATTGGGGAGTTCGCCCCCCTTAATTGGGGAGTTTACCCACCGTTTTCAAATCCAATGATATAACATTATAACCGAGCGACTTTGCTACTTTACCAACTGAAGAAGTACCACTAAATAGTTCTAATAAGTGCATATTATATTAGAACTATTTAGATATTAATATTTTCACATACATATCGTTGATGTTTTTCAGTTCTCTCGTGTCTTCTTATATCACATTTCCTGAAAACACCACCACATTCACATTCAATAGGTTCTTTTCGTTTTTCCAATATTGTTTCTTTGTTTTGGTGGTAGTGCTCCCTACTTTTATTACATATATGTTCTTTGTTGTTTTCTGCGTATTCCTTCCTCATATTTTGATAGTGTTCCTTATTGTCTTCCTTCCACTCATTAATTGTTCTACCTACCACACATCTATTCACACAATCATTATTTTGAATGTAATAACCTTCTCTTTTCATTAACTGTTCTCTGTTTTCACATGGGTAGTCTTCTAATAATTCAATCTTACAGTTGTCCATTCCATATTCATCAAACAACAAACGACAGTTTGTTTTATTATTCCATTGTTCTGCCTTGTTATAATTTTGTCTATGTCTTGCCATTCTTTGGCTCAAGCTTTCACAGGTGCTTCCGATGTAGCACTTATTATATCCAACATCTGTTATTTTGTAAATCTTTGCGTTTTTATATTTACTGCTATCCATTAATAACCTTAGTTATCTTTTCTTTAACGCAGTTTATAATGTCCATAAGGCAGTGAATTGAAAGCATCAATGTAAAACCTTTTATTTTCATAATTACTGAGTGATTGCTTGACTTGAGACATTGAAAATAATTGATGGTTGCGACTACGAATAAAATTATATGTTATTTCATGCTTTTTGTTTTGAAATAATGCTTCGTGGTAGTTTTGGTAAGTCAGTTCTTTCTTCACCTTGTGTTTCACTACACCTTTTGATTTCTTTTGTTCTTCTTCTTCACCGTGTATTGTAAAAGCATACGATTTGGGCTTTAACCCTATGAATTGTGTTATTGTTTGACCGTTGCACTCATCCTTGAAATAACCGAGTTTTTTCTTATTTGTTTTGTCATGGCAGGGGTGTTCAGGTGGATAATCGCTAAAGTCCATATATTGGTTTAATTCTTTGAAGTCCTTGTAGATGTCCTCAGTGAATGTTTGAATTACATAACTGTCAGTATCAGTATAAACCAGTTTGATGTTTTCATTGTATTTCTTCTTAAGAACATCATAGTAGAACTGATACATATGTAATTTACTGATGTCAAGGATTGTCATTCCTAAGAAAATCGGTTTGTCCAGTTTCAGTTTCGCTTTATTTTTTTCAACTCCTACAAGGTTTTCATTAATAATAAATCTATTTTTGAATGTTGGATTATTAACACATTTTTCGTATCTAACTTCATTATCAACTAATTCAAAGTCCATATGATTTCGTTTGTCTTCCATAGTTTTTCAATACACAGAATTATTCATTAATTTGAATAAATCTTTCTCAAAATCGCTTTTGGCTTCTTTCCTTTTACCAGTGTTAAAATCAATCCACGGTTTCAACCATGCCCTCTGTTGAAATTTTATTATCCTATGGACTTTTGTCATTTTCATTCCCATTTTCAAATAATACTGTAAAGTCTTGATATGAACCACATATTTTTCTTTATCCTTTAGATTTAATATTAACTTACTTGTTTTCTCATCCTTGGGATTTTTGCCATCATAATATATTTTGTAGACTTGCTTTTGATAATCAGAAAGCATACTAACATTTACATTCATTATTTCAGGCGCTAGTGGATAGTCAGAGTGGAAGTCGTGCAATGTTTCGGGATATTCCAAATCAACTTCCATAATATAACCGAACTCATCGTTTTCATTCCATTTTCAACACTGGGCGTTTTCTTTGCCCACTTGATATTTTTTAGCGGTAATTTCTGGGACATTGCTAAACCATACAAGTTATTAGCATCCAAGTAGCTAATATAATTTGATGGCTTGTTCTCATCATATGCTTCCCCCATATACTTATTATTTGCCACCGCTAATTTATGACTTACCTGACACATTCCTCCTCTCATTCCCTTTTCAACCATCTCAAACATTTCTTGGTCATGCAATTGTTCTATTTCAACACCAGTTTTTAGAAGCATCGCGTCCCATGCGAAATTTGGCAATGTGTAATAATGAGCGGGGTCTAAACCGTAGTATTCCATACACAAGTCTCTAAAGTTTTCAAATACATCGGTCAGTAGTAAAACATCAGTTCTTAATTACAAGTCGTGATACTGCCCGAGTGTTCTAATCCCGAAGTGCTTCCATACTTTCAGTGCCCTTTCATAATCTTTATCACTTACATGTTCCTCACTTAATTTACTGTAAAACGCTTCTTTCGGTGGTAAAGCCCTTTCCTTAAATCTTTCAAAATCATCAAAGTAGTCATAGGGATAAATACCATTATCAGTTAATAAATTCAAATCTTCATCGGTTTTAACATATGGGTTTCTAACGCTGTATCTGAAATTGTTCTTCCAATTCTCACGCTTTTTATCATCCTCATATTTACTCAACCTGACCAACTTATCCAACGAATACGATAAGAAACTGAAACTGTCCTTGAAACAAAGATTTTTAAAACCAAAGGTTATAAACTTTTCGCTGTTCTGAGCGATACATTCTATTTTAGAATTCTTGTTCAATTCGTGAGCCTTGTTGATGATTAAGTGGGCATCATAGTTTTTAAGGTTATGAAGAAACACAGGGATTTTATAATATCTCATACTAAATCGTAGATTGCAGTCCTCGTGGGCGCAACCTCTATACTGTCCCGTAAAGTGGCAATGGTCCCAACACTTCTTTTCTCCTTCCTCAAATTTGTTTCCACAAATGAAGCAGTTAGTGGCATTATTGAAGTCCTCCCAGTCCTTCTCGGTTTCAATACGGTCTTTGTCCTCCTTCATTTTCTCCAAAACTTCCTCTCTGACTTTATTGATTTTCTCAACAAATTTATCCATACAATCCTGACCTCTATATAAGTAAGGCTCACTACTTCCGGTTATAGCATTGACTACATTAATCATAAAACCACACGGACGATGATTTTGATATGATGTAGTTTTAGCTTTTGCCGATTTGCTTTTAACATCAATTGGCACAGTTAAACATTCAAAGTCGGCATATATTACGAATGGAGCTTTAAGTTTCTTGAAATGGTTTTTGAATTCTATTGTTTCACCTTCTTTTGGCATTTCTATTTTTTGACCCTCAACTGCTAGACATCCTTGTTCTTCGTGTTTCTTTAAAAGTTCTTCGGTCTTGAAA